ACACTCTGGAATTGCCTCAGATTTCCCTCCCTCACAGGTTATTACTGCATGTGATGCCCCTTGTCTAAACAGCATGGTGCCTTGAGATCCTGGGGTGTCTGCTTCCACAGGCACCAGCCTACCACCAGCATCTAGAATCTAATATTCATGCCACATTCTGTAGCCACTTCCTCAGGAGTGCTACCACCATCTGGGGATGGGAGCTGTAACAGGCTACCAGTTCCCATCCCAGAGGAAATCAGCTCGTCTCAGTTTTAGGGTGGGTGCACCAAAGCCACCCACCACCAACCTCTCCCATCCCTACCATAACCTCAGTTAGGGGCTCAGGCATTCACAGAACAAAGGCCAGGACTGGAGGTATCTTCAGAGAACTTCTGCCTTCACCCTTGCTACCCAAACCTCCTTCTTAGAACAGGCAACCATACTCCTTCTGACAAACCTCTCCAGGGAAGCCCCAGACCTCCCAAAATAGATCCCAAACTCTCCAGCCTGGCATAAATGTCTACTGATTTTGCCCATCTGGCCTTCTCTCCTGTCAGTGAGCTTTCTAGAAATTTCCAAATAGTTGATGCTTTCATCTTTCAAGAACTTACTAGGCACCAAGCACTATTCTGAGTACTTTATAAATATTAACTCATTCAGCCCTCCTAACCACCAAGTGAGATGTGAACTCTTATTATCCTCATTTTACAGATGAGGAAACTGAGGCAAGGAAGGTTAAGCTACTTATCAGTTTACCCAAGTAGTAAAACAGTAGAACTGGGAATTAAATCTAGAAAGTTTAGTTTCAGAGTCCCCCCCTTTTATCCAGCCCTGGATGCACAGTGGAGCCACTTGAGAGAGATTTAAAATAACACCAATGCTCAGAACCCACCCAGAGATTTTGTTGTAGTTGCTCAGGGACAATACCCGGGAATCTATGTGAAGCTCTCCAGTATTTTTGTTGCCCAGCCAAGACTGAGAACCACTCCAGCAAACTCTACTGCCTATGCCAACTAAGTGCTACTTCCAGGTGGGAGCTATGCTCCTCTGTCTTTCACCCACCAGTCCTTTATTTCCCCTGTCAGGGCTCCCATCGCCACCTGTCTCCCAGGGTGCCTGTGAGCCCTTGGAGGGGGAAGTGCCCTGCTCACCTCTGTATGACTGTTGCCCAGCACTGTCCGAGGCCTAGAGCGAATGCTGAGTGTTGAGGGGGTGACTGGTGCTAGGGCGCTGCTGCCCGCACTGGCTGCAAATCCTGCAGGGCTCTGTGCCCAGGTACTTTCTCCCGTCAGCACTGCTTCCTTCCTTTGGTCATGGGGAGGAGCTGCCCATCAGGCCTTTCCCTTTTAGTTATTTGACTCTCTGCCCAAACCAACTTGCAGCATTTGCTCCTCAGCGGTTTAAAATACTTGGTTCTGCACACGAGTCAGGAGAACATTCACCACCTTGAAATGTATTCAACAGTCAGGCCGGCATATACCAGTGGAATTCTCACTCAGAAAGTCTGTCAGTGTTTTTCTCATTGCTTCTGAGAATGCTTAATTGGCTAACGTTTGACTTATTTCTACAGAATCACTGCATCAAATTGTCATGTGAAAATTGCCAGTTAAAAAAAAAGAGACATCATTTTTGTGACTTCAGCCACTTTGCATTTCTATGATATCTGCTGTATTATATAGTTAGGTAAAACTTTGGAGTCTCAATCAAGTCTGACTAGAAAATCATTGTGGAGTATCAAAGAAAGGTCATGGTCTCCAACTCATGTGACCTAGATCCACTGATGAGCTGTGAGGTTCAGGGCAGATCACTCAGCCCCTCTGGTATGTGTCTTTATCACATGCAGAAAGGACACAGTGGCACCACCTCTACCCAAGAAAGTTCTGAATATTCAAATGGAAGTGGCTCTGGATGCCTTTTGAAAGGATAAGGTGCTTACAAAACAAGGTGGTCACATTTAAGAAATCTTTGAGACTCAAACTCCAAAACAAAACTCTCTATCTTTCTTTCTTTATACTGTCTTATTAATTTAGTTAATTATATTTTCAGGAGAAGTTTGAATTTAGTGTGAATCTCTTCCCAGTTCTCTGATGTATAGCCTGCATGTGTCACACAACTGGTGGTCACCATGGTTACACAAAAAATGCAGCAGTTGCAGGCCTATCAATTTTCAGGAAGAACCAGTCAAAACTGTTAATATTATGTCAAGTTGATGTGTCGTTTTCCAATTTGCACGGATAGCTGCATTGCAGCAAATTAATTAAAACAGATAAATGTTAATCTAATGCATGTCTCCTTGTAATTAATGAAATATAACCATTACAGGAGTGTTTGATTTATTATTTTAATTTATAAAATGCTGAATTTTCCTATAAAGTTAGTTATAGTAATAGGAAAAGCTTACCCATATATAGCATTAAGAAAAATAATCACATTTCTATAAATTAATCACTCTCTAAAAGGATATAGTTCATTAACACTATGAACTGAAAGTGTTGGATGTAAATTAGATTAACCTTTTTAGTGACACTTCCATTTATATTGCACATTCTCTTCAAACTAAAAGCACTTTACATATATTAATTCAATTAACCCTCCCCAGACCCTTGTTAAGTAAGTACATATATCAAAGTTGGTAGGGAGGAGAAATGAAACCCTTCAAAAATACTGAAATCCTGGCCTTAGGATGTATGATTTATGATTTCCTCTGCAGCAGTACAGTTTATCCAGATTTATATGGCTTGAGAACATGGGTACATATCCGTGCTCTCTCTTTCATGCTGCCAAGAAACCCTTAGGATGTCACTTCATGCCGGAAGCTGGAGATGCTTCTGCCTGAAGCTTAGGCCAGATGCTGTAAGGAAAATTCTGTTTTATTTAATAAAATGCACCCCAGCAACTCTGGGTTTGGTGGTAGACAGGGCATGTCCAAGTGGGTATGGGTGGCTAGACCTTAGTGCCCCATTCAACAACCAGAGGGCCATCGTCCCTTGGTCTTGCTGCTACTCCACCTCTACCCTCTTCACTTGATCATCTGGAGGCTCAGGTCAGACTGCAGCTCTTGAACAAGACCTTGGGATGCTACTGGGAGGAGAAACAAGGATCTGCAGGGAGGTAGAGCTGGGCATTAATCTTCCTCAGCTGGGGTCCCTCCTCAGACTTGTCTTGGTGAGGGGCAGAGGCTGCCACTCCCTCACCTGCTGAGATGGAAGGCAAGGATCAGCCAGAAGAAGACCGCACTCTTCATTCTGCCTAAAAGCCTGTTTCTGAAGGAAAGTTTCGTGAGTGAGGATCTGTGTCTTCTGCTGTGGTGTGTCACTAGTAGTGCCCCATCTTTTATGAGGCCATGCCTCTTTGGAGCACTTACCATTGTTGCTCAGACTTCCTGGAAATAACTATGCACCTGGAGAGAGGAAAAGGATGGAAGCAGTCTTGCATTATAAGAGCTAGAAGACTCAGGGGAGAGACTACAAGCATTTCCTTAGTTTGATTGAATATGTGTTTGGTGACTTGAGGTTCTGAATGTTCATTTTTCCAACTCTTTCTGCTCCTTAAAGTTCTCAAATGCACAAGTACTCTTCTAGGGGCAGTGTCACATTATATTCCACAAACCAGTCTTCTTTGAAATAGAGTGCATCTCAGATAACAGCCTGCCTTGTAGCTGATGGTTACAAACCTACCAAGGGCAATGGCTAACCCAAAGGAATGAATCACTAATGATAAGACATGAAATCTAGTGTAGAAGAAACATTTTAGAGTGTTTGCATTCTTCTCCCTGACTCTGCAGTTAGAAAATTTCTTACTCTGGTCCTCCCAGCCAACATGCAAGGGCAGTTTAAGCCCGCATTCTTAGAATCTCACCACATTGTACTCTGCCAATACTTCTTGGTGCACATCTCTTTGCTGCATATTGCCCTAGCTTCTCTCCTTTCAGTACTGCCTTCCAGGGATTAATAATCGGGACTTAAAGCCAAGAACTAAAATGTTATCATTCAGGAAACTCACAAAGATGCTGGAGAGTGAGAAAAAATATTCACTTTTCGGTTCATGATATTTTAAGAGTTTTCTTTTTTCTATGATGCTTTTATTTGTGGGAGAGTGGACCATCATTTGGAGTAGGAAAGAAAGCTAAAATTACTCACAATGAGAGTAAAAGAATGTCATAGCTAAGACCCTGATTTCACCTTCCCAGATTTATTTCTGTTGCTGTTTTTTTCTCCCAAAGGAAAACCAATTATTTTGACTTTATTGTGCTATCATCAGAAACGTCAAGATGGCTGTATCTTGCTTAACTATTAATGTTAGGATTATATTTAAGCCTTTTTAATAATTTACTGTGATTTTGATTAGAAGTCATAAATAAAGCATTTGTATCACACTTGCATTTTTTCCGTTTTTTAACAATTCCTGCCTCCTTTCCATGCCAATCTTCCAGAAATTAAATTCCAGTCTGCCTAGGGAGAAGGAACTCAAGTCAGGGACCAGCCAAGAATCTTTGCTTGAAACTGTAGCTTTTCCTTGAGTTTGCTTTTGAAATATTCCACCACTACTTTGTCCCAATGGCCACTGCAACAGAAGAGGAGAACAAACAGAATCGTCACATTAGCCTTTAGCACTCCTCTTGTCCCTCTCTTCCCTTATCTTGCCCTCACCCTTCCAGGATCTTTCTCTTCTTGTCCTTGGTAGCATTAAGGACTGCTTTTGAAGGTAGGGTTTGGCTGCTCCCTGGGAGCCACTCCTTAAAATACTACCCATAATGGAGAGAATCATCATGATCCTAGCTTTACAATTTGTGTTTTCTCAATTCAATGGAAAATGTGAGTAAAAACATCTTTAGAAAATGTTGCTACATTTTGGGCATGGTGGTGGGCACCTGTAATCCCAGCTACTCAGGAGGGTGAGGCAGGAGAATCACTTGAATCTGGGAGGCAGAGGTTGCAGTGAGCCAAGATGGCACCATTGCACTCCAGCTTGGGTGACAGAGCGACTCCATCTCAAAAAAAAAAAATAAGAAAAAAAATATTGCTACTTTTATTGATCAGAACCAGTCAAACTTGCTAAAGACAGAGAGCTTGCTATGAGCCACCACTTCAAAACAAGTCACCTGTTCTTATATAAGAGGCCATTTGATCAGAAGTGTGAATGTGGTGACTTGCTTTGAAGTGGTGGCTCATAGCAAGCCCTCTGTCTTTAGTAAAATGCTTTTACTCACATTTTCCACTAGCTTGTGGACTGATCTCTCTTTCGTCCAGTTCTACATAGCCCTTGGTGGATCTTCCAAATACACACACACAGTCACTCCTGCTCAAAATTCCTCATGTTACTTCTCCACTTTCATGATACAGTCCACATTCCTTGGCTTGTTTTAAAAGGCCCTTAGTTGGTGCCTAGCTGTTCCTGGGCTAGAATTGAAGCTCTGTGTGAGCAGAGCCCAGCACCTAGCCCACTGTCTGAGTGAACAAATGGGGGAACCCTCTCCGCACTTGCTCCTCTCACTTCAGCCCCGTCTGCAGGACGACCCAGTTCTCTGCTTGGAGAAGTTTTCCTGTGTTCTGTCTGCTGTGCACACTGCTGTGTCTCCTGCTGTGCTTTGTCCTGCCTGGCACCCTGGCAGGCCTCCCTCATGCTGTCAGCATTTCTGGGAATCCATCCCTGGGCATCCTCTGGGGCACTCCTTTCCCTTCATTACATGGCTCCCATATAGAACTCCACAGTGGCACTGCTCGATTGCATTGTCATTGCTCACCTGTCTGCGCCTCACTAGACTGTGTTTCTTCTTCCCAGGTTCTCAGACTCGGTCTAACACTATGGATCAAGTAGGTGGATGAATGATGGACGGAGCTCCCTGGAATCCAGCTCTTTGCCTTGTGGGGAAATGTAAGGCTGGTGTGTGGGGTTTTCATTGTCTAATCTTTCTCCTTCATTCCCTGGGATGCCCAGTGTTCAACTCCTCAGTACACACACATCAGGGCTGGCAGAGCAGGAGGATTAGGAGAGGTCAACATCCTAGGCAGGGCCCTACTGGTTATTGCTGGTATGACCTGATACATTCAAGATGGGGAGATAGAGCATAGCTGGGGTTAGGGGCCTGTTGGGTATAAGTTATGGCTGGGGAGCGGAAGCTAGATAGCCCAGGGTCGTGAACCTCTGCAGCAATTTCCAGAGTGTGCACCCTTCTTGGATAATGAATGTAAATTACCTTTGCCATCAGTGAAGTAGCATAGACATAAGCCCCCACTTTGCTCCGTAGCATTGGATACCAAACACTATGGGAGAATATCTTCTGTCACGCACTGATGAGAATTTGGTTGTAACCATCGGCTGCTGCAGGTGGATCTGATACTTTCCCATATCGTTCCTTGGGTCCTCCTTGCTCCCATCAGCACTCCGTTAAACCCTAGACTACAAGTTTTAAGTGGATAAAGCATGCTGCATTTTCCAAACAGGTCATTAAAAACGATTTGCAATTTACGGTATCAGATGTATGTGTGTGTAGAGGCAAGAAGGAAGTTTTTAATTGGAAAAGCTTTGTCTTCAATTAAAGTGGGATGCTGAATGTGATGAGGCCTGTGGAGTTCTGAGCCCACAGCTAGGGAGGCAGGGCAGCAGGAAGAGGGGCCAATTTTTGGCTGTGCTGAGATTTCCAGGTTGTGTATGTAGTCCACAAAATGAACAAATAGGAGTCTCTCTGAAGTCAGAACATTTACTTTTTGCTGGGATTCCCTTATGGTAATCCATAAGGATATGCTGGTTCAGTTCTGAGTGATAAAGCTTTGGCACTATACAAGGGGAAATACCGTCTTCCTCAACCAAACCAAAATCCCCAGCTCTGAGGCTGGTGTTGAGAGGGTCACCTTCTGAGGCACAGTCCCCAGGAACATGGGGGAGAGCTAGGTTGCTAATAGCCCTGATTCTGCCCTTGAAATTCCCTTTCTTTCTGCCACTCCCTACATGGGTTGAGATTGAACTGAGACAGAATAGACCTTTTTTTCTGTAACTCTGGCTCTAGTGGAAATAACATTTTCCTTTAGATATCAAGGCTTGAACTTGGACCAAACAGGATTTTTACCAAAGTTTCAGGGTGAATAATGGAAATAAACATAAAGAATCGTGAACTTTCAACCCTATCAGAACCAACGGCCCTGTTTTACAACACGTATTTTGTAGTGTCCCCATTATTATTTCTAAAATGAAATTTGCTGATACTGTTATGCACTTATATAATTTAACAAATCAATATAATGTCTTCACTGAATACAAAGAAATTAAAAGTTAAATAATGTATAATAAAATGATATGTATTTCAACAAATGCTTGGGCCAACCATATGAGAGGAAGTAGTGAATTAGATGTTTGTCGCCAGTTCAGCAGCAACACCATGTGAATCACTGTGAATTCAGCAGCTGCAGATGCAAACAGATCTGTGTGTGTTGTTTTGGTGATTCATATATCATGGACATATTGTGTCAACGTGACTTTTTTAAATGCTGAAAGACTTCTGGCAATATTTTGAATAAGACAAAGCATTCTTTGGCCTCAATTCATAGGATGGTTGTATTCCTGGAAAGCTCAGGGTTTATCAAAGCTGCACAAAGAATATCCAGCTGACTCACTTTAATGCCACTGGTATAGGGAAGAGAACTGTGGAGCTCTAGATGGTGTGCTGGGGGCCATTCAGGCAGAGAGGCGCCTGGACCACCCCTCCACCACACATGCACTCATCACTTCCTGGTTCTACGAGGTACCCAAGAAGTATCTCATATGTGCTTACAGGCTGAAATTGCCTTAAAGGGTAGACAACTTCTGGGACAGTAAATAGGTCTTTCTAAAGACCTTTTTGGGGAAAAGAGGAAAATGTCACCAGCTGGTGGTCAACTGAAAGAGGCCAGGATTTCACAAGGAGATCTTTTGGAGAATAGGGTCTCCCTGGTGGGGGATGCTGGAAGATCTATGGGGGAGCCCATAGATCATGTGCTAGAATTTCATTTAGACCAAGCAAAAGGAGGATCACTACTTTGCCAGTTAAGCATGGAGATGTCTCGGGGTCTTTCCCATCACCTGCTTCTCTACCTGACACAGAAGCACTGTAAGGGGGTATGAGGGGGAGACCACACTGGGCCCAGAGACAATGACCTTTGGATCAGATATAAGACTGAAGTTTAAAAGTGAACTAGACTAAGTATTCGTAAACAAAAAAGAAATGAAAAGCAATGGAATTGGGCTGGAATATCTTTAAGGCAGCTGCCACCCTTTGGGAAAGAGAAGCTTGACAAATCATGGTAGGGAACAAAAATAACATCATTTGATGTTTATAGTCCAGTGGATTAGACTCCAGCAAACTGGCTAGAATGTTTATTAAGGTCACTACTGATATTTCAGAGATAAAATGCTATTCTCTTGGATAAAAATTATTCCTTAATGTTCTCATGGATAATTTAAAGGGGTGAGGGTTTTTATTTTGTTTTTGTTTTTATTTTAATCCCTAGGTGGCTGTTTCTTTTCCCCCCTCCTCATATAAGCATGAAGTGCTTCTAAGAGAGAGGCTGGATTGCCTAAGAGAGTTTCAGCAACTTTGAGATGAAAATGCATTTTAATATTTTGATTTAATGGGGAATGGTATAGCCCCTTAATAAGTAGTTCAGTGACATTTGGTAGTTCTGTAATATTTGACTTGGAGTTGAGTTTATAAAAATTTCAGCCCAACAGAACTTCAGGGCACTAAGGGGTGTATGTATTTCTGAAATGAGAAGACCTGGTTGACATTCTGATTCTAAAATCAACATCATCCCTTATGCGTCACCATATTTTCAATTATAATGGATGATGGGCTGTGAATTTTAAAAACAGCTTCCCTGCAAGCTCCTGCACAGACCCAGCTTGTATGCAATAAAAAGAAGAGCTTGGGAGGGAGAAGAATGTCCTCATGCCCACTCTTCTGACTTGACTTACTAAAATGCTTCCTTTTCAGAGACTGCTTTGGTTTTTTGCTCCCCACATTGGTTCCTTGGGAATTTTTTTAGAACGTGGAGTCTTTTCTAACTTTGCAGGGAATTTGTATCCTCATTGACCGAAATGGTCGAACTTTGGAAGGGTAAAGTCCTGTCAATAAAAGCCTGAGATTTTATGAAATACCTATGACAGCCAGACAAAAGTATGTCTAACAAAAAATTGGGGGAGCAAAACAGATGCTTAGGGCACGGTGTTCTTGCATCTCTGCCATTTCAGGATAAATTCAGGCCTTTGCTACCAGTTCATTTCCCATTTCACTGTCATCTCACCTTCCAAGCAGAAAATACCCTAAATGGATTATATTAGTTCCCAACATGCAATTCCTAGGCAGTAATTAAGGTCAGGATTATTCTCAGGTAGTCCCAGGATGCAACGGTTTTGTGGGTACTGGGCTTATGTTTGTTTTTACCAGGAGGTTCAGAAGCAGACCTTCCTTCCCCAAGGGTGGTCACAAAATCAGGTCGGAAATGGCCCTATATTCTACCCATAGCCAGCTCAAATGGGGAAGAGACAGCCCTATCCCCCACCCCACTGTGCTGAACTGGAGGAGTAGAATGGTTATTGAGTTAGGTGGGACCTGCTAATAGTGGCTTAGAGTTTGGGACTTCCTCCCCAGAGGGAATGTGAGCTTTGAACTGGGCCTCATATCTGGCCTTGACACCTTCTAGGAAATGCCTTTCATCAGGTTCAGTAAGGTGCAGGTTGAATAGAGACTAGATAGTCTCCATCATATGGGCAGGGCATATCTGTTACAACCACCCCCTATGCCCACACAGATCCTCTCCCCTAAAGGATCGAGAAACTACCTATTGGGCACTCTGTTTATTACCTGGGTGATGAAACAATCTGTACACCAAACCCCTGTGACATGCGATTTACTCATGTAACAAACCCAGCATATTCCCCCTGAACCTCTAGGGGAGAGGGTACGTGTGGACATAGAGGGTGCTTGTAGCTGTCAGTGCCGTGCCTGTATCCCTTCTGCTCATGCCATTTTCATGCAGGTAGGCCTGACTTCCAGCAGCAGCGGCCCTTTGCCTGTGGTCTCTCCCTGGCCCCTAGACCCCTCCGTGCTTGCCAAGTGTGGCAGGTCAGGAGTCAGAGGGAATTAATGCCTTCAGGAACTGTCCTTACCAATGATTGACAGGCGCTGATGGAGCAGCATCCCAACTCCCCCGTCCCTCTTCCCTCAGGTGGGAGGATGACTGAGGTATTTTACCCAGTGCCCATGCATCTCCAAGAGGATTAAGCTCCAGTTTTGCCCACGCTGGTAACTTGCTTCCAGCCTTTGCTAGCTTTCTTCCCTTCCTGAGTCACTTCTCCACTCCCCTACTGGTATTTCCTGAGACCACCTCCTACACACCTGTGCTCAAATCCTTGCCTCAGGGCCTGCTTTTGATGGAGCCCAAACTAAGAGGGAACAAACAAGAGAAGTGCTGTGTGTGTGTGTGTGTGTGTGTGTGTGTGTGTGTGCAGGCTTTTTTCCCCTTCTTTTATTTTGGGTTCACGGGGAACATGTTGGGTTTGTTATATGGGTAAATTGCATGTCACAGGGGTTTGGTGTATAAATTGTTTCATCTCCCAGGTAATAAGCAGAGTACCTGATAAGTAGTTTCTTGATCCTCATCCTCCTTCAACCCTCCATCCTCAAGTAGGCACCTGTTGTTTCCTAAGAGAAAGTATTTTGTAGAGTACTTGCTGTGTCTTTTCTGCATCTACCTATACAGTAAATCTATTTCAGGATAGCAATTCTGGGATGCCTTTGGGCATCCGGTCAGACTTACTTGCCAGCTGTGAGGTTTTGTGGGGCATTTGGAGAATACTGAATAGTCATTGAACTCTCAGTGCTTGTATGCAGCACTTAAACT